CAGATGCCTGCTTGAAAATTGGGTAAACAGGAGAAAAGGAGAGAGGAAGAGGAGGTCCTTTATCTCCTACAAAGATATGCATTTAGTCTCTAGTCCCATTACACTTGGCCATTAAAAATTGGTGGCTTATTCCCAATGATATTTCAAATACACTGTCTAAAAGCAATATGAAAAGTCCATGGTTTACTGCAGCATGTTTAAATAATCAAGGACAAGGTATAATGCATGTAGAACGAAGAGATGAAGGAAACAGAATGAATCAAACAGTTGAGCTTAGCTTATATAAGTGTGACAAAGTAAGGAAGTTTGGAAAGGGAAAGTTCAAAAATATTCATGTATAAAAGTCAAAAGTATTATTTAAAGATCTGAGAAAATCAAGAAGCATAAAATGAATTAGGGATTTAGAGTGGCCACATTTCTAACCTCATTTAACTTTTTATAAGCCTGTTTTATGGATCATCTGCTGTTTTTTTTTTTTTTTTTAAATTTATTTTTATGGTGTGATATTTAAGAAAGTCTACCTACAGAAAAATATATATCATTTCCTATCTTTTTTTTCATTTGCACTCTGACCAAAGTTCACATTGCTAAGTAAGAAAATATATGTGTTTATTCTATTGTGAAATGTCTTAATCATAATTAATGTATTTTGAGGGCATTGCACTCAGGGCTTGATCAGATGCAGACGGCTCTTGCATAGTGGGATCTAAAGGAGGCTCCACAGCTGTCTCCCACACTGGCCTACTATGGTGCCAACATTTCCACCCACCTGGCCAGAAATCACACCGTTTGATTCAGTCCACCCTTTGATTTATGTAAAAAATGCATTTTCTACTATTAAAATGCACTTGCTGTGTGGGTTGACAGAAAGGCCCTAGAATCACTATTGGCCTGCCCACATTAACATACATTGTCAAATTCACTCACTATCTCACTATGAGACAAATGTCTCTATTCTATAGCATAAAAGATACAAGAAAAATTGAATGTAAGAGAATCACAGATTATTGGACCTGGAACCCAGTAAGGTTTCAGAGTTGATTTATTAATTTCCTTAGACAGTAGCCCACCCACACCGATGGCAAAATTGAGATGAGAAGCCAAGAGAGGTGTTTTCTATATCTGAGCTTATTAAACACTAATTATCACAAAGACTTACATAGCAAAGGCAAACTGGCTTTGCAAAGATAATTTAGAGGAGGCTTTGGAAAGATCAAGTAGGCCATGGCATGAAGGACCAGGATAAATAGAATAGACCTAAAGAAATATTCTATCCCACTCCAAGAGAAAGTCTGAAGAGTACTGCATAATTAAAATAAGAGCAAATCCTTGCATAGTCAATGCTTGCCTTGCATGAGATGGTGCTTTTAAGCCTAACGTTTGGGTTTTACTTAAATTATCAATTCATAGCAATGTGCATCAATTATTCTAACATTTTCATTATCAAATGTTTTTATTACCTATTTCCCACCATAAACTCTATATGAATTATTACTTTATTGCTAAGTGTATTGTAATGAAATAACAAATAACCAATTACTTCAATGTTTGATTAGATTGATACTAAAGGATGAGCATGAGATTATCATAATGTTGATGATAATTAAAGGCAAAGAAATACATATTAGTAATCTCTGTCACAAATAAATGTATAACTAATAAGGTTTTCTTAAACTATTTTTTAAATGGTGTAATTTCTAGTATTACTTTGCAGGGACCTGAGGCACTCTACAGATTTGGAACTTTAAAATGGTGGGTCTCATTCTACATTATTAGATTCTGGTGGTAAGAAATTATGTTTGTTCTTATGGTGTATTATTTTTCCTTAGCTAATAACAGAATAAAACCTCATTCTACATTTGGCTGTAATGTGTTTTAGAATATAGCTTAAAGCTTGTTAAACAGGGCATTAACACACAGGCCCTTGGAATGAAATTGTATTTATCATACTACAGTACAGAAGGAAGATAAAACTTTTGTAAAACTAAGTACATTTCACTTAAATTTTCCTGTTTTAGTTCCTTTTTTGCATTTGTGAAAACATATTTTTATCATTAGCTATTCTAACTTATTCCTGGTTTGTAGCATGACATTGGAATTTTGCTTGCTATTGCACTGGAAATTATCTTCTCAACTTTATAATGAAAGTTAATCCCAAACACTTGGTGATAACTGCATTGTTTCACATAGGTTAAAATTCCAGAAAAATATTTGAGGTAATAATAATTAGGAACTAGCACAGCATCCCAAATGGTATTTTAATGGAAAATCCAAATGAAAATCCAATACAAATCCTGATTAAAACCTAGTCAAGCAAAAAACTACAGATTACCTGGATTCCAATTAAATGTGACAAATGAATACTTGACAGGTTTCAATTCCAATTCTATTTATGTCAGAATGATCCATTAATATTGAAGATAAAATTACCAGAATTTAAGCAATACAATTGCACTTTATGGCTAGATGAGTAGTTTGAAAACATGGACCCAACAAAATTGTTACTCAAAGGTCAACTGCTACATTTAGATCACCCATAGTGCATCACATTTCATTCTGTTATTACCTATAGACCAAGGCTAATATGAATCACAGCTAGTAGATGAAAAATGGTCACACAAACTCTGAATTTCAAGTGTTGATCACATACAAAATCAGGAAAAATCCATTACATTATCATGGCCCTTGCTTTTAACAGGCCTTAAAAACTTAGTTATAAAAAAGAATTAAAGGTCGCTTTTTGGAACTCTTTCTCATTGTACTTTCTATTTTATTAACAAGCTCACCTGTTAAGTTTTCCATGACATGTATGTTTCCTAAAAAGTAACTGACATGTGTTTGTCACATATAATTATATTTTAATTATTCATCATTTATTTCTTATTTTAAAGGTGATGAATCCCCATAAACTAATAAAACAGAAACTAACATTAAAAAATGATTATAATGCCAGTGGTACAAGGTCTTTTTTTAATAAAGCTGACATCCAAAAAATAAAAATTTAATTGTACATTCTGTTCTTTACAGTAAGAATAAGTACTTCTTAAAACACAAACAAAATTATATGTTCTCATGAAAAGGTAATCTCAGATGTGGTAATACCCCTAAATTAAATTAATCCTGCCTTCCTAGGTATGCTCTATTGATCATCTATCTATATTAAAAATACTGTAATTACATACATACATGTAATTACATGTACTATATATGTATTCTATATTACATATATACATCTGTAATTACATATGTTACATATGTAATAAAGAATACATTATAGTACATATGATTGCATATATGTAATTGCATGCAATTACATAATTATCTTTTAATTATTCATTATTTATTTCTTATTTTAAAGGTGATGAATCCGCATAAACTCATAAAACAGAAACTAACATTAAAAAATGATTATAATGCCAGTGGTACAAAGTCCTTTTTTAATAAAGCTGACATCCAAATTACATATGTAGTTACATATTATGTATGTAATTACAGTATTTTTAGTTTCTTTTTCCAAATAATTTTACACATATCTGCCTTAAATATATTTTCATCAGCATTGCAACTCATACGAAAATTGTATGCCCATTAAAAAAGTTACTAAAAAAACCGTAATTCTTAGAAACCACACCAGACTCCCATCCACATAAGCACACACCACCATACACACAGATAAACATGCCTTTATAGCCATAAGGCAAAATGCCATTTTAACTATGCAAAATTAATCAAGAGGGACATCAGTCATCAGACCCTGATATCATATCTTCTTACCCGAGAACAATGTGGATAAATAATTATTTAGCATAATATAATTTAGCAATACTTTCACTTAGGGTCATTTATGATATATTATATTCTAATATTGGATTTTAATATTCATAGGTAAACTTCCAGAAGAAAATCAGTCTTTCTCCTGCATTAATATGCTCTACTTGCATATATATCGGCACTAAAGAAACTGGTATATAACAAAAAGTTAGAGTGTCTTATTTCACTCAGGGGTTGAGATGGCAAAAGACATAAATCCATTTCAAGTTTTACTAGGGATAAAATGTGTGTGATTCCTCTTCCTTTCTCTCTGTATAACCATATCTCTCTCTTCATATTTGAAAGAATAATGAAGTTCGGATGAATTTTACCATTCCATTATTTGACACAAATCTATTCCTCAGGCATTTACTTATGACTCAAAATCCAGAAAATAAATCACCAAATTATCTCTGAGAATATAAACAAATGTGGAAAGTTTTAAAAGTGCTATTTGCAATCTAAATGTATAACTTAAAGGAAAATGCATACAAGGTCAATTGTGGTAATTATGAGAATCACCTCAAAACAGTATAAAAATACAGAGTATTATGATTTATTTTCCTTCCTTCCTCTCACATAAAAATGAAAAAAAACAGCTTATATTTAAGTAAGAGGGAAATTCTAATAGCATTTATTGTATGTTATGGAGAACAAAGTAGTACTATTCTCCTTTGACCCTATTCAGTGATCACTGGAAAGGAGAGGTTTGAAAACGCTTCTCTAAACATCTAGGACAAGAAAAGGTAGAGCAAGGTATGTTCCTTTCATTTCCTTTCACTAAGACTGGACAGTTGTACTTGAAGAAATAGTTGCATGACAAAAATGAATAGAAGAAAACAATTAGACAAGACCTTTCTCGGTGACTACTGTTTAGGAATTCTGCACTTATTTAGCTTCCTTCACAGTGGGCCCTGTTCTGATTTATTTATAAGTGCGTTTATTTCGGACAAGATGCTTTAAAATGGTGGTGCAATTTGGGTGAATTTTATCTACAGAGTTATGTTCCTTTATTTGGCATTTCTGTATTTAAGCAAATATTTATCACTTAAATAAAATGGTTTTAATGTCAGCTATTTTATTTTGGTTTTAGACTGACCTTCGCGAGTCAACTTATTACGGCTCACTAGCGTGATTATGTGTGTGGATGTTGTGTTTGCCCCTACCATTTTCCATATGCTCTGCCTCACCAACACTGCCATCCGGCGTGGTCCTTTCATAGTTGTCCTCTGGGAGTGGAAGGGCACCCAGTCTTGGCCCTGAAGAACTCTTACTGCTTGGTGTTTCTGACTCCTCCAGCCCGCTGTCATAGCAACTCTGCAGTGACCCCTGATGTGGGTCCTGAGGCTGACTCACAACAGAAAACGTCACTCTACGAAATGGCTGCAAAAGAAAAGATTCTGAATGTCACTACGATATAAGATTGTAAATGATCTTATTAAAAAAAAAATACATAAATTACATACATTAAGGTCTACCAGCAACTAGTTCAATACAAAATGAATAGATATGTTGAAATTGCGTTAGTTAACTATGTATTATCTAAGGCAATGTCTAGAACTTAGATTTTATTATGGTAAAATTGGAAATTCCCTTTCAGAAATAGAGATTTAAAAAAACAGTAATTTCACTAAAACACACATTTAAATCTGATATGTTAGTTCCACATATTCAACCTTTTTCTATTCTAATAGTATTCACTTCAGATATGCTTTCCAGAAATGGACTCTAAAAAAACAAGGTCAGTGATTTGTGAAGGCAGTAAATATTGAACTAATCCATTGTAAGAAGACTCAATTTTTAAATACTTTGTCCATATGATACAAAGTTATACAATCAAATGGGATGGCAGTTGACTTAAACTATTCAAAGTACAGCTGACAAATAAGAATTTAGATGCAGTGCTAGGAAACAGAAATATGTTTATTACATAATTCCTATAAAAATATTGTCTATTGACCTTGAAATTGTAAGAGCTTTACTGAAATAATAGACAAAAGTATAAAAGTATCCCTAAACAGTGAGTAGAAAATAAACTATAAAGTTTAATTGTGTGTTCTTAATATTACTGTTTGTGATTTGTTCAATAAAGTAAAATCATGTACAGCCTTTAATTTGTTTCTTAAAAATTTTATGAAACTTTATCCAATTGAACCCCACAATTTACTGTGTTACTGACAATGGCTGGACTGAAGATGGAAGGTATTTGCAGATTATCTTAGTTAACCACAAAATAAAATAAAATAAAATAAAATAAATAGGCTCATTAAAGGAACAAACCAATGCCATGTATTGACAGTGCCACATAAGAATAATAACTTGGAAAAACATATAAAAATGTCCTGCAGTGTCAGTCTGAGATTATTCTTGGTAATAGTTGTATCCATAAAGCTGCTGCATGAATCTGAAAAATGTCAGAAGTGTACATATTTTTAAACTTAGACTGTTTCTTTTTATTACAAAGTATAAAATTAATGTTGCTAGAAAACAGTGAAAGGTTACAAAACCTTTTTTGCACCTTTATAACTTGAATGTTCATGACACAAATTACTAATCATGACCTGGACCATTAGAATTTTAGAAATACTAAGGATTATATGCACATGGTAGGTTATTAATGGGAAAGCTAAGAAGAGTTATAACATCTCCCCCTAATTTATAAATTGGCTTTGCTAAAGACAAACACACGCTTCCATAAAATTTCCCTTTATTTTGTCATTGATGGAAGACTAGCTGAAAATATCGTGAATTGTCAGTATTTTTAACCCAGTAGCTCACAATTCATGTACTTATTTGAAGTGCACAATCTTTACAAAGTCTCCTTTTTATTCTGATTCAAAGTCAAAATCAGAATAGCTGAATCTTAATACAAAAGGAAAACATTTAATTCATGTTCTCTTCTTTATAATGTTTCACTGAATTGGAACTGCAGTATTTATAAACAATTACAAATATTTTCAATATACATAGTATAAGTATGTTATAGATTTAAATTTACTCACAATAAACTTTTTAGAAACATTATTCTGATTTCACTAATGATTCTCATATTTCTTTACAGTAATATAGTTGTGATATTTTACCCTTTATTTAAAAAAATATGTATAAAGAAATGTAAATACCCTGTATTTAAAAAAATAAAGAAATCAATTTGTACCGTCTTTTTTTTTTTTTTTCGCTCTGTCGCCCAGGCTGGAGTGCGGTGGCGCGATCTCTACTCACTGCAAGCTCCGCCTTTCGGGTTCATGCCATTCTCCTGCCTCAGCCTCCCGAGTAGCTGGGACTACAGGCGCCCGCCACCTCGCCCGGCTAGTTTTTTGTATTTTTTAGTGGAGACGGGGTTTCACCGGGTTAGCCAGGATGGTCTCGATCTCCTGACCTTGTGATCCGCCCACCTCGGCCTCCCAAAGTGTTGGGATTACAGGCGTGAGCCACTGCGCCCGGCTGTACCCTCATTTTTACCTGTGTGTGTGTATTTTCTTTTCTCCCACCCCTTGTCCACCCCACCCACCCCATCCACCCCATCCACCCCACTTCTCACACCTGTGACTGTTTAATGCTTTTGGTATCACCTTGGAAATGAGACCACTGACAGTCTCCTAAAACCACATTGTTTTACACACAGAAAATATTCAGTAAATACTTCTAAACAATGAAATTTTAATGACAATGTTGAATTTAGCCAAGAATGCCAAGGGTTATGCAGACATATTATCATTTAAAGACATAGCAATGGATTTAAAAATAAACAAACACATAAAAAGAGAAAGGAGGGTCAACTGCTGTTCTTAATTCTATTTTAATGACTTTCAAATCTTTTAGAATATCTTCATTAACACAAGAAGAAAGCTCAAAATGAATACAGAAATACATAAGACATACCAATAAACTTAGAAAATGAGAAATGATTAGAAATGGTGTTTCATTTTGATATAAAAGTAGAAAAAAAGAGTGACATTTGGTTGAAATTTGGAATAATTTTGGAAAAATTTTGAAATATGTGCTTAAATGTTTATTTCACCAAAAGTGGATAGGCTAGCAGAGAAACCAGTGATAGCTATGTTTATAATGAAAAATGTTAAGAATAAAATAATGTTTTTCCTGTAATGTACTATATAATGACTGCTATGAAACTACGCATTTTGTTTTCTTGATTTCCTACCCTATTTTGACTGTGAATATTTAATCTTTATCAGTTATTTTAGAAGTAAAAATTGCATAATTTTAAAATATTGATATCTATTTATATATTAGAAAACATTTATATTAATCAATTCTTCCCTTCTTGTATAAAATGCTTTTTGCATTTAAAATCACATCTGAATGAATAAAAATGTAACTCACAATATTTAAAATAAAATGTATCATACAATGGATTATAGTATATCACACCTATCATTTTATTCACATTTTAAAATATTTTATTAGAATGTCATAGTAAGATATCAGCATTACATCACTAGCTCTTCAAATTCATTTTGATAATTTTGAATAATAAGTTTTTTGTGGTCAAGTATTCAAGTTGACAATGTGAACCAAATTAATACAGAAGTCAAAAATCTGAAAGAGCTCCCATTGATGCAAGAATTAACATTTAATTTAAATAGTATATCAGACATACAGAGTTAGATGAAATGAGAGAAAGACAGAGAGAGAAACGGCGAGAGAGAGAGGCAGACAGTTGAGTCTTGAAAAGATAGCTGTTTTACAGCAAAGGTTATTACACCATATTCATATTATTTATATACTCCAGAAAGATTGACTAAAGCAGAAATATAAAGCAGAGTGTCAACTCCTGACAGAGAGAATGAATTTGCATTATATATGTAACTGTCACTTTGTTAATTACTGATACTCTGAAGTAGAATAGCTTACATGATGATTCTTCAACCTAGATGTGCCTTAGAGAACCCAGAGAACTTGTGGAAAAACCAGATGCCAATATCTGGTCCCAACTTAAACCCAATGAATCAGCAATCAGGGTAGGACTCAGAGATCGGGAGTTTTTAAAAATCCCCAGCTGATGAAGAGGCACAGAAAGGAATGAGAAACTTTATTGTCAGGAAGAACATAGGTAGAGGTTCAAGAAAGCAATGTGCTCCAGGTAGTTAGCCGGTTCTTTAAGGGTATAAAATAGTTTCCAGGGAGAGTCAGCAGACTTCTGGTTCCATCTTGAGACTTAAAAGTATGGTCATAAAGACATTTAGTAAATTGCAGTGTCTGAACTTTGTATTTTTCTGTCTGGGGTGATAAACGATTTTGTGTCCTGTAAATGTAAATTGGTCTATCTAAGAGAAGAGAAAGCAAAGAAAGCAAAAGAGCTTGAGGAAGAGTGTCAGTCTGCCAGCTCTTTGAAATTGTGAAGACAAGCTACAGACTTGAATAAGTACTGCAAGACGGAGATCTTAAAGAAAATTATTCCAAAACCTGTGGATGAGATGTGTGAAAGAATTAAAAAACAAGAGAGTGAAAATCAAATAATTTCTTTAGGTAAGTGAATTATCTAAAGAAAAGGTCAATAATGAAGACATTTTCTGACGGTTCCTTATGAAAGAGGAGGAAGAAGAAATGTTGAAGGCAGAAGATTATGCTAGGAGATAAAGTATAATGAAATATTTACCTAGCAAGAGGTAAGGTTGAGAGAAGGTGGTGGCAGTGAAAATGGACAGCAAGGCCATTATAAAGAAAGCCCATATATCTGACTGGATTGAGTCATTAATTCACAAGACCTCTATTTATTTTATGTCCATTATGTTCCAGGGTTTCGAGGATGCTCCAACAATGATTCTACACATTTAAGAAACTCAAAACCTTATCAGTCTAGAAAAGCACAAAAATATAATGTGATCAAGTTTCCAGTAAAATTGAGGTGTAAACAAGATTATCTAACACTCAGGAATTTAGGGCAGGCACTGCAAAGACAGTGGTTTGTTGGTTGAGATCTCTAAAAGAAATTTGATAGATAATATATATTTGGGGGTTGATTATAGATTCCATATTCCATATTGCTAGAAGCAAGCAATTAAAAAAAGTGTGTGAGGGCCAGGCGCAGTGGCTCACACCTGTAATCACAGCACTTTGGGAGGCTGAGGTGGGCGGATCACGAGGTCAAGAGATTGAGACCATCCTGGCCAACATGGTGAAACCCCGTCTCTACCAAAACTACAAGAATTAGCTGGGCATGGCAATAAGTGACTATAATCCCAGCTACTCGGGAAGCTGAGTCAGGAGAATCGTTTGAACCCGGGAGGCAGAGGTTGCAGTGAGCCGAGATCGTGCCACCGCACTCCAGCCTGGTGACAGAGCGAGACTCCATCTCAACAACAACAACACCAACAACAACAACAAGATGAGAATGAAAAGCAGGTCACTTTCAAAACTCA